AGCAGAAATAATCTGAAAAAGGAAGACTGACTTTCCTGTGAAGACAATGAGGCAGCCTCAAGTAATTTCCAATTGGTTCCACCATTTCATCAAAGTGAAGAATACTAAAATCCCCTTCTGAGCATCTAAGGTTTATTAGTTTCACCATGAAACTCATAGTAAGAGGGAATTTATTTACAGCTCCCACAAACTCAAAGCAATGTGGTATGTCACACCACAGGCAACCCCACTGGAGTCAGCAGCTCCCTTCACAGCAGGTTGGTGTAGGTCAGCAAGAACAAGCATATTCAGACCTGCCCTGAGCCCAGAACACTGACCCCACCATTAAGAATTTTCCATCCTATAAACTGAGTTTATTTTTGTCCACATAATTTTAAATGCCTGAGCACTAACATTTACCCTCTAGTGAGAGCCAGGAATGCTCTTTCAGAGAAACTAAATAAAGGGAACTTTGAAAGATTACTCCTGGGATCTATTATATATCCTGTATCTGAGTAACACCAACTTTCAAGATTAAAGATAAATAAATACCTTCAGCAGTAATAATCCTAATAATAATGATTATCTGACAGCTCTATGATAGGTCTTTGTCTGGGATGTGCCATGTAAACCCAGTGAAAACAAGGCTGACCAAACGAGGACACTGCACATAGGTGGTGGCTGGAATGGGAATTGGCTTCTTGCATACAGAGACCTGTACGCAGTGGGATTTTGTACCTTATTCCACATCACTACCCATGAGATGCCACAAGTGAGATTACCACCCTTCTTCCACAGGCTGCAGCACATCCCAAGACAGTACCCTTGAAGTCCACGTGGAATTGCAGCACACAGAAAACTGAACAAACTTTCATGGAAAGTTTCATCGGAGCTTGAGTGAAACAAGCCAAATTAGCAAGTAACCACACTGGTGCTGATCCAGATTACTCCACAATTTCTAGGTGAATACTCCAGATTTCTGTCAATGAGACAAAAGACTCTGGCACAGCACAACACCTCAGAGACAGGCAGCAAGGAGCTACTTGAGATGGAAAGAATTTGGTAGAGATGTCTTGAAAAGAGCCTCAAGCTGACTGCAAGTGCCTGGACAAGTGTGGCTGATAGCAAATCTCACATAAGCACTGGCAAAAGACTGAGAGGTCAGCATGGAGTGGTCAGAGGCCTAATTTTATGCGTACAGGTCCATGCCTTGAGTTTGAATGTCCACAAACGGAGTTTTAAAAAGGCAGAACTGGAGAAGGGCTATAACCTGTACTACAAATCTTTCCACGAGTTCAAGCTCCCACTCTGCTCCTTCCTTCCCATTTATCACTTTGCCCCCCCTCTGTTATCTCATCAAGTCATTGTTGTGTCTATGTTGCATTTTGGAAATCTTACAGCAGTACAAGCAGGCAAGAAAATATGGTACAACCCAAGGACACACACCTGGCAGAACCTTCAGCACTGCTGAACTGCTGAACTGGAAGCCCAGCAGAGAAGACTGCAGTTCTCCCCACCCACAGCTACTAGAAAGATTAAGCTGCTTGTATGAAATCCATATGAACAGTGAAAGATTTTCAGAAAAAATAAGCAACTTTAAAGAACAAATAAACAGTCTCTTCTCCAACACAAAAAAACTATAACCGCTAATGTTTAATGTTTGCAATGTGTGAAATTCTGATGATAACACTGTCTAGGAACTGAAGTAACAAGACAGACATGGCAAGGAGGAACTCGGCACAAAGAATAAGCAAGACAGGGTCAGAGTCTTGCACCTTTTGCTCCATCAGTGACGTGGCATCACTCAGAGAAGAGCAACAGGCTGCTGAGTCAGCAGCCCCACTCTCATGGTGTGTGGCTTCCTCTTCTGCTTGCTCTCAAAGCTAAAAAGCCCAAGAAAGGGGGTGGCTAGAAACATCACAGCCTGCAGGCTAGGTTTTAACAGAAACAAGATGACTCAGGCAGCAAAGTGAGGAGGATGTGATTAATAAAAATATTTCAGAGAGCAGAGACACCCCCTCACACCCATCTGCCAAGTCTAGAGGGTATTTCATTGAATGCTACCAAAGAAAGCCATCCGCATCAAGCAAACTATCCTTATGCCTTTTGGACATGACAGAAGCTACTGCAGGAAATAATTTAGGGAATTAATAGGATGGCACAGATTTAATGACTAATAGGTCATATCCATAGAGATAAGAATATAAGCATTTGATCTAACCATACCACCCCTGCTTCTCCACAGCGCTCCATGCAGCAGCATCTCTAGCACTACTCAGCAGCAGGAGCAGCACAGCTCGGGGCTGCCACTGGTCCTGGATGCACCAAAGCCCCTAATCTAAAATCCTAACATCAGTTCTCCACCAATTCATCAGTCCAGAGCAGTGATGGAGCTGAGGCATGGGTAGAGCCATGGTTCTGCTACCCCAAAGCACCCAGACTCACACACTGCAAGCCAGACCTTGGCCAGTGCATCTGTCCAGCAGGAATCAAAGCCTTTGCTTTTCATACCCCACAGGAGTGCTGCAAGGATTAGCTCATGTTTATTCAGCACCATTTTTCAAAGCACTGCATGAGTGTCAAACCCTTCCTTTTTTTCTTTTTCTTTTTTTTTTTTTCCCCTCTCCCCTTCCATTCTTTTTCCCTTTTTTATTTTTAAATCTATTCCTTGCTGTGTCATTCCCTCCCAAAGGGACACATCTCTCTCCTCCTGAGAACCAAACAAACACAGAGCCATTGGCAGAGGGTGATGGAAAGCACACTGTAGGCTGCTCCTCCTCAAACACATCGATACCATCATCTCCATTCAACCAGCCAGACCTCATGTGCATGCCCACTGGCCAGGGCTTCTCATACACCCTGTAGAGGGACCAAACAGGACACAGAGCAGGATGTTCAACCTTCTTTTCTTTTTGGTTTCAAGGAGCAAAATAGGGGTCAAACAGCCAGGGAGAGGCACCACCAGCAGTCATACTCTATGTGAGCCCTTTCTTGCAGCACACCCTTGCAGCCAGAAAGCCAAGTGGATGCTGCAGCAAGGTCTCCCTGTAGGTGCTTCCCAGCCCTCAGGGGACATGCCAAAGTGTTCACTCAGCCTTGGCACAGGAGGATGGTTTGCATCAGAGCACGCGCTGGTGCTGGATGTGAGATCTCATGTATGTGAAAGCGCAGACAAACCCAGCATGGGACATTTTCTGCTGCATGCAGAGCTGCTGAGGCAGGTGGAAAGAGCAATCCAGATGATGTGTGACAAAGTGTTACAGCTTCCTCAGAAGGACAGAGCTGGTCTCAGCACTGCTTACAAAGCCAGCCAGGACCCCAAGAGCAGCTGGTGTACAGAAAGAGTTAAAGAAGAGGTACTAAAACAGAACAGCTCCATTCAAACAGTACCTGCCTGACACCTGGGCACCCATGCAGGTAGCAATAACAGCCCTTTCACCATCAGAGAGGGGGAAGGTCCAAGTGTTAGAATTAACATAAATCTCCAGACACTGCAAAAAGCAAATTAAGATGACTTATACACAAGAAAAAAAGGCTCTTCTCAACACGTTGCTTTGATAAGTTTACAATACATTTTTAAATGAGAAAATAAAAACATCAGATCCAGAAGTAGAAGACAGACCATGACTCACAATCGTGTGGAATTCTGTATACCAATTTTAGCTTATTTTGTTTCCTATTTCAGAAATCTCATTCCCTAGATCAAAAGAAAGTTGTTTGATGAGCTTAGCATGAGCCAACCTTCGTGACTCTGGGAAAGGTTTTGAGTTCATAAAAATAAATCATTTTTATCATGACAAATTTAGTGTCACTTCCCACACACAGTGACACTGCACAGCCAGAGCATCTTTCAGGGTAAGGACCTCAGGAAAATTCCACTAGCTTCACTTGGCCTCAGCGCATGCCAAATTACAGCTTCAGTTCTCTCCCAGGATTTCTTTCAGGAGCTCTGCACATGCACACCAGAGTTAAAGCCAAGGCATTTCCATCCTCTGACTTGCAAAAATGACATTAAGGCAATGACAAAAAGGAACTATAGCTAAAGCAACACAGCTGTTGTATTTCAGAAGGTTTTAAAAAGCAGGAGCCGATTCACCTCCTTGTTCTACTGCTGTCAGTCACAGCACTGCCTAAGACAGAGGTTTACTTCTCCAAGTGGAAGCAGATTTCAGTAGACCCCTCCTCTCCCCCCCTTGCTCAGCTGTGCAGGTCTTCACCTCTCAAGTTGCCTTTAGCAACAAAAAGGTTATGACTGCGCTTAGATGAAGCAGAAATTGAGGAGGAAATATCCCAGAGATGTTTTATACATTCGGCTTGGCATGAAATAAAATTCCCACGTGGACAGGAAGACTTACTGCAGGTACTTGCCTTATGGAGCACAGGTTCTGAACTAGAAAAGTCCCTTTAACTACCCAGCTGTGAGGTTTCTTCGCCAAAAGAAAGGGGAAAAAAAAGTAGATGAAGAATGTCATTTTTATGACAGAAGGCAACATCTATAAGGCAGAAGTGATCGGTATTAGGGAAGGATACTTCAGATGACAGAGGCTGCTAAACACTGACTGCACGGCATCACACAAAGGATTCTGCATCACACAGCGGGATGAAGACCATTGGATAGCAGAGCCTGTATACCGCGCAGCCACGCACACTCCTCACCCTTGGAGCAAGCACGGCATCAGCTCACTTTGCATCAGAGGCAAAGTTCCCCTGCACGGGGCATCCGGGTGTTAGAGTGGAGCTCTGTGGGGCTTCTCTCTGCCAAGCAGCCAAAGGCAGCCTTTTCAGAATTATACTACACAACACTAAAGCCAAACAAAAGCACTCTGAGATGGAGAAACGAAGCACATCCAACCAAAAGAAGCACCAGGACTGAGCCTGCGCTGCGAACCCCAGCCTGTGCACGACAGTGAGAAGGGACAGGGACAACACCTGGGTTCGACGGAGCTGAAGGCGAGGACAGCACGTGAGACGCAGGAGGACGGAGGCGAGGCCATCCCCCGGGGCGGGCAGCGGGTGCCTACCTGGATGTAGGCGCGCTGCAGGTAGCTGTAGGGCACCCTGCGCTGGAAGTCAGCGCGCACCTCCTCGGCGGCGCGGTGCCGGGAAGCGGCTCCCAGGCGCGGTTCCTCGCAGCTCCGCAGGCAGTCGGCGCGCCGCAGCAGCGCCCCGAAGAAGGGCAGCTCCCCGGCGGACCCCGCTCCCAGCGCCGCCAGCCGCACCTGCCCCCGGCAGCGCCGCCGGCACCGCAGCCGCTCCGCCCGCAGCTCCCGCCGGCTGCGCAGCGCTCGTTCCAGGCACCGCGCCGCGCCCGCGAAGTCGCCGCCGTAGTACGCTTCCACGCCGCTGGCGTACAGCGCGTCGAAGGGCTCCAGCGGGCCGCCCTCCTCTCCGCAGTTCCCGCACGCCGCGGGCAGCGCCGCCGCGAGCAGCAGCACGGCCCCCCAAGGCCGGCACCTCGGTGCCATGCCCGCCGCACGAGCACCGGCTCGGTGGCGATAGCAGCGACGCGGCGGTATCCCAGCCCGGCTCCCTGCGCGCCCTCCCCCGGCCCGCACCTCTTAAAGGGCCCCGCGCCGCCGGCCCGCCCCGCCCCGGCCCCCCCGCAGAGGGAGCAACCGCGGCGCAGAGCATCCCTACTCCACGCTCTGCAAATCGCCCTGATGTTTTCCTTTCCTTTTTCCTTTTTCCCTTCCTTTTTCCCTTCCTTTTTACCTTTCCCCTTTCTTTTTTCCTTTTTCCTTTTTCTTATTTCTTTTTCCCCTTTTCCTTTATTTTTTCAATCCCTTTTTCCTTTCCTTTCCTTCTTTGTTAAATTGATAACCCCTCCCTTTCCCCCCTGCAGTGCAGCACTTATTAGTGCTATGATTCTATGATTCGATTCTATGATTCTATGATTCTTCACTCCTCTGCCGTTCTTGCCCCCCTCCTACGTCCCAGCATCACTGCTTGCAGGATGCCCTTCTGCGAGGCTTCTGCTTAGAGCCGTTTCTCGCTGTGCCCTCTTGCCCCAACAGCCTCCTGCTGCTGGGAATTCTGCAGATAAATCATCGGGGATGGTCACAGCGAGTGGCTGCTGCAGCTCTTTCAGCTCCCAGCTGCATGTACGTCTCACTTCCTCCAGGGTTTCTCTCTTCTAGTGCTGGAAAACCCTGCCATGCCAAAATGTTACTCATGTTTGTATGAATTTTAAGGCATTCTTGTGACGAGACATTTGGCAACATGGCCCTGTGACACACACACACATCTTACTTGGCATTTTCAATAAGCTCAGTGTTGAACACCTGTCAGCAAGATGTCTTTAATATTAACAAGGTTAATTTGGCTGAAATCAGCTTTTCCTAAGTGAGATTGAATGGGCAAATCCTTCATCTCATTAGAAGCTGTTCTGTGCTTGAACGCTCTAAAACCTGTGCAGACCTGTGCACTGTGCTCCATAGGGTCTCTCACCAGGGACTGTGGCTATAGTTACTGCAGACATTTCAGGAACATCTCTATAGCAGCTGGCTATCCCTTCACAGACTGAAATAGCAGCAAATGGGAGATGTCTCAAACCCATTTGGTCCAGTTTTCATTAGTGCATAGTACCAGGTGTTCCTGATGGTCCTGCTGAGCTTCTCCCCCTGCTGTTCTTGTGGCTTCAGTCACATTGTTCCCATTCTCTGCTGCTAAGTCCAGGATCAGAAGCAGGATTCAGCATTCTTATTTTGGGCAATGCATCACACTGTGGAGCCTTGTTCACAATAGCTTCACATCAGGAAAGTTTTCTTCCCACACAGCTGAAAATTTACATAAGTTCTTGGTGAAGAGCTTTCCCATCCAGCAAAGCTTTCATAGTGCTCTTCCTTGTTGCTTTCTTGTACCTTGGCACAAAGTTTTGGGTGTCCTTTCTCCTGGAACCAAACACAGTGAAGGAGGTCCCCTTGAGAAAGGTATGTGCTACAAGCACTTGCCCATTTAGTATGAGTTCTTATGTCCAGATAAAGCCCTTCCCAAGGAAAGTGTAATCAGCACTCCTGGGGCATGGATATGAGGTTATAGGAAGGCTATTTCAACCTTCTCAAAGGTCTCTGTGAGGATTTGCTGCCTAGACACAAGACAGACGCACGACTGGTGAGCATGCAAGTTTAGATTGGGGTCATCTGTCTCCAAAACACAGTGATAAAACACCTGTCTCCTTGGCTGGGCTTTGTGAAAGATGCAGCCGAAATGATCTATCTGCAAAAGTACTGTATGTAATTCCATGTTGTTTCCACATCAGCAGCATCTCTGTGTGCGCAGTGATAACACTGAGGCCCTGCGCAGGAAGGAATGCAGAAAGTGCATAAATGAGTGGAGAGAGAACAAAACAAAACAAAATGCTTTATTTCAGCCTGCTACATTTTCTGATCCAGATGTTTCTGTCATTAAAAAAAAAAAAAAAAAAAAATCCTTTTCAGAACAGTAAAGAAAAATTCTTAGTTCTGACATCCTGTAGTGCAATTCCACTGCACACTCTCAAAAGTGTTTCTCTGCAGACTCCCATTCACTCTGGCACCAGTCTCCCCCGACCTCGCTCTACAATCCTTCTGCTTAAGGTCATGTTTTCTTTGTTCACAATAGTTTGTGCTTTTCCTCACCTTGATGCTTCATTGCTACCTAATTGCTCAGAGCTCAGCAAGAGTTGGCACACAGACGGAACTGAACCCCAGGCGTCTCAAATGCAGTTGTTGGAGCAATCACTGTTTTTTCCATGTGTCTATTCACTGCATAAATGGAAAGGCAAACATCAGATGGAAAAAAGTTTGGTGGTCCTCGGAGTGGGTTTCGTCTCCTTGCAGAAGATCTGAATCATACCAATTCAGCAATGCAGCTGCTACAGCCACACCAGAGTGGCACTGGAAATGGTGGGTTCACCTTAGTATAGTCCTGTGTGGCAGCAACAGCGTGGAAATGAGTTGGAATTAGAAGCTTTGCATGTACAAAGGCAGGATTTGACCCAACAAGGCAGTCACTGCTTTAGGACATTTCAACTCCAAATCAGTCCCCAGGATGCCTGAGATAGCCCTCATGCCTCTAATGAAAGGAATAATTCTAAATATGTTACAACTCACCCCGTGTTCAGATGTTGATCCTGGCCCCTGTGCAGTTGTTTTGAAAGACTTTTTCCTGCGTAAATAGATTCATCTGAAGCTTTTTTTAATTATTATTTTTTAAGGAAAGTTCTGATATGTGGGTCAAACCACTGATGACTTGGCAACAAGATAAGAGCAGATTTTAGGATGTCTTTCAAAATGGCTTTTCAACATGCATTTTACAAGCAGACCTATGTTTCAAGCCCTCTCTGTTTCATTTGTAGACTTGCCTTCCTAGTTAATTCATGAACAAACTTTATAATTCCCAAATCAAACACAGGTGACCTCTTCAGCCATGTACTTTAGTGAGGGAATTTTGAAACAGATGGAAAAATACAACGTAGCCTCATTGAAGGGCTTTGATCCTTGCATAATATATATAGGTACAGGTTTTATTGAATATATCAAAACCATTACTGAAGTACTTCATGATTTAGACCTAAAAACAGACCTGAATTCTGTCGAATGTCTCCATCTGCCCATCTCCTTTCTTTATTCAAGGAGTGGGAGTGATTGTGGATGTCAATGGATGACAGGAAATGAACATCAGAAGATTTGATGCAGTAATAGTTGTGCATCACATTTTGGGACCATTTTTCTAGGAAAAAAAAATCTATCATCAGGAACAAAAATATTTTAGCTTCAGGAGGGGTGAAATAATGAGAAACCAAAGGAAGAACATTCTCTTTAAGTTATTATTCTTATTTATTGCAAGATGAATGCTCATTGCAACAGAACAATGTAAGGATGGAGAAAATAGAAGGTGCATGGCCACCCCATCTCCTCTGAATTGTATCTGTTGTTTCATTGATGACAGCTTACAAATCTGCTTCCCCACCTGCCTCTTGTTCCATTCTTTCTTTCAGTCTGTCTCTGACATGTTGCTCAGGATGGCTCACCAGTGACTTGAGTTCAGCACGGGTGAACAGGAGGTCTTTAATTTTTCCTCCAAAACCCTTTTCACTTTTACTTCCTTCTAGCAATATGAAATAGACTCCTTTTACTTATTTCTAGCAATTTTTCTATTTGATCCATGCTCAGGATCTGTGAACAGCTCTCTTTGTTTTTCTTCTCCCAAACATATCTAACCTGTAATCAAACATATGCTCTGCTTCCATAACCTACAATCAATCACAAGCACCTGAGACATCCTCTGCCCTAACATTCCTCTGACCTGGCATTACTTCAATGTATGTCCTCTCATATTGAGCTGCCAACAGTCTCTTTTTCATGACTTCCCACATTACTTTTGCATACGGATGAAATGATTGCCAACAAAGCTTTGCTTACACTTACATTGCTCTAAATGCATCATTCACCTGTGTATCTTTCCTCACACAAACTCATAACCATCTCATATCCTCCCTTTCAGCACCCAGTGAAAGGTTTGCTTTTCCACTCTGTGCTACACTCCATTGTTAATACCAGCCTTGGCAGCTCATTTGTTTCTTCGTCCTGGCCCAGCCCATCTCTCTGCTTTGTTGCATGGGACTTACTGTACATCTGCCTCCTTTGGAATAGGTTTTTAGCTCTAGAATCCACCATTTCTTCTTTCCTGGAGCACAAACCAAAGCAAACCCCCAGAGCCATCTCTGCAGCAATCCCTCTATTGTGCCTCTCAAGGCTGGGAACATATGCTTTACTTTGCAAGCGCTTTGTGATTTCCAGATATTCACGTGCTGGATCTGTTATACAAACCTTTATACAAGAGCACAGTCATGTACAACACAAGGCTTGTTGCTGGCACTCAGCAGAGAAATACAATAATATAAATCGTATGAGCAGAAGACTCTTGTGTCTTCCCATGTGTAGGCAACAGTATAAGTTTATAAAATTCCAAGTGCTTGTACACTTTGCTTACTCAGAAACTTGGACTGTACTTTACTGCCATTATAAATTAAAAACCAATAAAAATAAAGTTCAAAAAGTATAAAATATACAACCACAGGCGCACTGGTGTCTCAGAGAAGTTGGCCACAAGCCTACGTCTTTGAGCTTGGGTTTAAAATACCTTCATGGAGTGTATTATTTAAGATGAAGACAATTAATACAACACCAAATAGTTACTATTTTCTGCTCTACGTCGCACTTCTGCTACACTGACAGCCTAAAATGTTTCCAATATTGAGAGTCGCTGTTCTGAAGAGGAAAAAGCATTATAAATGATATAAATGGAGAAAATCACAGAATCATGTGGCGTGGTTATTTTCAGTGCATAGTGCAGAGTTAATGAGACGTGTGAATGGTTTCATTGTATAACAGTCTGAACTTTGGCTGTCAGCTATGGCAGTTTCAGAGTGTAAACAGGGTCCAATTCATGACTGGTGTAATTGGGCTGATGTCAGTGACATTGCCAAAGGACGAGTTAAGGGCTGCACGTGTGCACACAGATGGAGCCCAGT